GTAAGATTCTTAAAATACTTGATTTGACTCAATTTTTTCTTATTTCAAGAATCTTACTAAGTAAAATATTCTTACTCCATTGGCAGAAATTTTGACTTAATTTGAGTCAAATTTTCAGACTAACAAGACAAATAATCTGACACATTCTGAAAACAAGATTATTATTATACAGCCAAGATTATTATTATACACAATCCGTTCTTATTTAGTAAATCAGTCTCAAAACAAGATCAAAAAGACTTTTTGGCTGATATAAGATTTTAAAACTTGGTTAGGTGGACAGTTTTTGCAGTGCATGCTTTTTAAGCTACATTTTGATACCTGTTATCTTGATATCATGAGTTCTTCCAGAGATTTGATTTGTCTTCCTAATCAGAATAACCAGTTTGATTTAGATTTGTCGATTATTTTTAGGTTATTCTTATGAGGAATCTTTGGTGTTAGTTTTAAGAAGAAATCTCATATGGTATGGATATTAAGATTTACCAGGTGGAAAGAACAAAAGCTTTGCTAACTCACAGAGAAAATAATGAAAATTTAGGGCTTTTCTGCTCAAAATTCTGTTTTGTTGTTACTACTCTAAAAGTGCTGCAAAAATTATTTAAGATTATATCAGACAATTATTTCAAATGATCCATAGATAAGGTATTGACAAAATGCAATTGTTGCAATTGTTTTAACCAGTGCACTGTGACTGCCTATTTTTCCACTTACCACTTTGTGACTTAATCCTTGGTGCGATGTGATGGCTCACATACAGTTTTTAGATTAGGGGGATCTGATTAATGTTTTGTTGTACTGATAGAGGTCAACTGGAATGCATTAAAAAGAATGAGATCAATTTGAACTCTTTTTAGAAATAATTGAGGCTCTTCCTCTAAATGTTTATTTGCTAAAGTGATTGCTATTTGTTAGATATGGTGATAAAGGTATAATTTACAAGGCAGGTGTAACTTCAGCAATATGATCAGACTTTTATTTGTAAGTTTTGAACTAAAGAAAGATTTAGTCATTAATGAAACACAGAATTTCCTAAAATTAAAAAAAAAATATATATATATATATATATACACATATATTTGTCTTTACACAACAGTAATTCCGATGATGAGTCCGGCTCCCGTTCAGGTTCAGCCTCTGCTTCCAGTTCAGGTTCCAGTTCCAGCTCCTCCAGCAGCAGCAGCCGATCCGGGAGCAGTGACTCTGGAAGTGGCTCAGACTCTGGCAGCCAGTCAGATTCTGACACTGAGAAATCAAACGAGAAGATGGAGCCACAAAATAAGTCAAACATCGATGGAGCTGAGGTAAAATTATTTAACTGAAGAGCAAGTGTCAGAGTTATCAGAATACCATAATATTTGATTTAAAGAATCAATTACAGGTTTAGAATAATTTGCTTTAACAAACTCGTCTACATGAAAAACACTTCAAGAATAGCAAGATGTGAGTTTGAATACTTTGTAGCTTTATGTTCTGAATGAGATACTCTTCTAAAAGAAATAATAAAACCATGCCTTTTTTGGGAAAGCATTTCAAAAACAAAAAAGTCTCAGTGAAGGTTTATTAGTCCCGTGTTAAAACATGTAAAAATTTCCACTAGAAAATCTGGTAAAAAGAAAAACAGAATAAGCTGCAGCATCTGTGGTCAAATAGGATATAGTCATAATACATTAGTTAGACATGATGTAATATTTATTATATGTAGACAAATGTGAAGCAATGGTTCTTGGCTAAAATTTACCCAAACATATATAACGTAACTTAACATATTTCATTGTATGTTTTTGTTGAATTGAAACATATTTTGCTGTATTTTTGTTTAAATTCATCAATATTTATGCAATTTCATATTTACTTGTTCAAATTTTATTAATCCTTTATGCAATAAGACACTGTTTAAGTTCAAACTGTGGTTACATTGTAAACATAAAATAAAACAAAAATGAATAAACAAAATTTTATAGTGAAAGTAAGGAAGGCTCTCTGAATTATTCCCAAAAATCCTCCACCTGTCCATTTAGCAAAATCTTAAGCACATGCTTCACAGGATATAATCATGCAATACAAGACCTGAACAGTGAAAAAGTACAAAAATATACAGTTTAACAAAAAAGGAAATAAAAACAAGCATTTGAAAGACTTTAGGAAGCCTGAAAAAAATTATTATTAAAATGATTAAAAACTATTTTGGAGTGATTTAAACTGTTGTGCAGTGTTGTGACAGTGGTAAAGTGCATATTTTGTGTTATTTTTTATTTAATTGTTTTTCTCTAAATAAATTTGACAGTTCTGGATTTGTGTTCATACCAATACAGTTTCTTCTACTGAAAAAATAGTTCAATATATTTAAGTATAGTTCAAATTACACAGATAAAAGTTAAAAGTTAATTTAAATATGAACGTTATCTCACTCTTTGCAGAAATTGTCAAGTGCTTAATTGTTCGAACCAAGTTTCCCTATCATGTGAGAAATGGGCTTGGTTAAAGTTTTCTACTGCTGTCTTGTCTTTAACCTGTTGACATTTACAATCAAGTGTAAGATAAAGCGTTTATGGTTAAACATAAAACTTGGTTGTTTATCAGAGTGAATAATAGTTTGGTTCTGTAACTTAATCTCTTGGTACTAAACTTGTACTTGCTTATGTATTATTTGATTGCAGTTCTGGAAGTCCAATCCAAGCATCCTGGCAGTGCAAAGGTCTGCTATGCTCAGAAAACAACAACAGCAACAACAGAAACAAGAATCCTCGAACAGTGGCTCTGATGAGGTCTGTGTCTAACCCCAGCTTATTTCTTCATTTTTTGTTGTCCATTCTATTTAACTGGAAAGTAGTCATCATCCAAACAAAATTATTAAAGTACGGTATTAAAGTTGCTTTTTTGACTGCTACAACACACAGCGTATGTACAATAAAAAGGCAATGACAGTAAGTCAAACTTTTAAAACACATTTCACACTTTACTCGTAGAATACTGACTGATAAGGCACTAAAGGGGCTGCTGGACCAAAAATGGTATTTGCTAAGCTTGCAGCTGAACCCCTTTGTAAACTGTGACAGATTATCAGGGAGTTCTAATAAGTTTATAATCACTCCCTATAAGCCAGGGGTCACCAACAAACTTCACTCAGGAACCAGAACTTTTCTTAGCAGACTTTGCAGAGCCCAGGCTTTGATGTTAATGATTATAATAAATAAGAGCTTAAAATTAGGGCTGCCACAAACGATTATTTTTATAATTGATTAATCACCGATTATTTTTTCGATTAGTCGACTAATCGGATCATACGTTAATTGAATATAAAACATACCAGCTTATCGCGCCAGAATGCAGCTGCTATTATATAACCATGGTTAGATTTTAGCTATATGCTAACTAAAAATAATTGCTGTGGAAGGTAAGTTCTGCTCTGCAGATATTGTACAGGTTTCTCTTACATTTTCTTAAAAAGATCCCACACCTTTGAGCTCCGTTGYCAGGTAGCCATGATACCAGAGCCTGTCTGTATAATGTCTTGTGACGTCCACGGCCTACCCCAGTTACCACTACTGTGCATGTGTGTCAAGGACAGAAAGGCAGATGTGGCAGTGGAAGCTGTCAAAGCAGTTTGGAGAGAAAAACAAAGTAAAGAACAAAAAAAAAAACAATTAATCGATTATTAAATTAGTCATCAATTATTTTAATAATCGATTAGTCGTCGATTAACCGATTAATCACGGCAGCCCTACTTAAAATACAAGAAGCATTGTATGGAATAGAAGCTTAAACCTTTTGTTGATCAGAGTAGAACAGATATGTCACACTCAAAGAGCCTTAATGCAGTGTTGACCTGAAAAACTACAACTTTACTTTAGTGATATAATTACCGGTAGGTGCGCGATATAAACGATATACGGTAGAAACGATATAAATTTGTCCTATGATAGAGATCTGTAGTCTACCTGCCAACCGCGCAATACTTTTTGATGATGTAACCGGCTGGAGTCAAAACAGAGGAAGCGGGAAGCAGCAGCGTGGCTGAGAGCGCAAATGAACCGGGGGGGGCTTATCCGGACCTGGTTCAGGTGTGTGAAAATAAACGCCAAACTTTTTACATGTTTATGTGACGGCGCGTGCTCCGGTCGGATGCCAACCGACCACTGCCTGCAGCAGGAGGAGCGTGCTGCGACGTGTGAAGGGCTCGACACACGGGAGGCGACGTCGCTCGCTTTCCATTTCCACGCAGCGAGGCGACTGTCAGTGCAGGTGAAGTCAGTGCTCAGGTGGGACGCAGAAAAATCAGTCTGGACCTCGTTTCTCCTGCGGTCATAGCGCGACGACGCACGGCCGAATGCGCGCGCACTCCAAAGCGCGACTATAATGATTGTCACCCCGCCGGAGAGCGCACATATTAAACAGGTGGAGTGCAGAAAAAATAATCTGCAAAATGTGTAGAATGGAATAAATACAATTTGTTTTACCATCTTAAAACGAAGCTGGTGATTCCAAACACAATATCCAATGGATGCAGATACATTAAAGTTATTGTGTGTGATACGTGATATTTATTTATTTATTTATTTATTTATTCCTTCCTTCCTTCCTTCCTTCCTTTGGAGGGGACCCCCCTGGCGGGCCACACGGGAGTCACCGGCCTTGTGTTGACACGTGGTGTACACTTTAGGTTCTTTGTGAGATAGAAAAGCACTGCTGCATTTGACAAACGACTAAATACAGTACTGCTATCTTTTGTAGCAGCAGTGTTTTTTTACTATCAGATGTTATCAGTTTATTTGTCATTGATGATTATTTTTGCCCTGGTGGTAATCTTTTCTAGGACTCTTCAAGTAGTGATGAATCTGAAACATCAAGTGGATCTAAAAAGAGAAGAAACTCAGACTCCTCTGACTCTGGATCAGGCTCTGGCTCTGGGAGTGACTCTGGATCGGATTCATCAGCAGAGGATAACAGTAATGAAACCGCATCGGACTATGAGCCTAGTCCCAAATTCAAAAGCAGAAAGCCTCCAACCAAGTAAGTGGACAGACCTACTTATGGTTTCTGTGATACACAACAGAGTTTCCCACACACAGGGGTTTTTCTACTAAATGGCTCCTGGTTCTTGACAGGGTCTCTTAAGTTGAGCTGGTTCTTGACTGGTTTCAAAACTCTTGTTAAGAAGTGGTTAATTTTCCTCAGCCAGAGAGCTATTATGTCACATTGAATAGTTATCCAGAATGTTTTTATTCCTCCCTGAAATATAAGAAGTTCTGAAGAGGAGCACACAGGCAATAGACACACAAATCACTTCATTTGTTTGGTTACAGGTGTCCTAACATCAACAGTTTAGTTCATAAACACTGTTTTAAACAATGGTTTTGAGTGATCTTTATGAGGTTGACCTGTTTCTCATCTGTTATACACGCAGGTTTTAGGCTTCATCAGTGTAAAGGGCTCGACGCACGGGAGGCGACGTCGCTCGCTCTCCATTCATTCCATTCATTTCCTATGGAGCCTGTGCGGTGAGGCGACAATCGCTTGCCCTCCTCCAGCTAAGCGACCGGCGAAAATATTGCATGTGAAATTTTGTGTTCGTACACGTAGACGTGCACACGCGAGCTTGCGACGCGACATATGAAAGTTGAAAAATGTTCAACTTTTGTCACTGTCGCTTAGCGTACAACCAATCAGCGAGGGTTTCATTGACTGACCAATGAGAGGAGAGTATGCTACACACTGCCGTTAACTAACACTTTCACCAAGTGTTTACTAAAAAGCTTTATGGAAATTTATTGGCACCAGGATGAAGTTTATGGTAAGTTTTTCCTCATAAAACTGTATCTTGATGTGTGTTTGTTTTTCAATATCATTAGCATCGCAAGATTTGTTTAGTTTACACGTCCGTAATGCACACCTGCCTTCAGAGTTAAGAACCAATCAAATTTTGTGAAGACAAGCGATCTGAGAGCGCGATTCGCAACGCTGTGATCGCTATCGCATCCCGTGTGTTGGGTTTCACCCTGGCTGCAATGACAGCCGTTCATCGCTCTAGTTTGTCGCTGCCCGTGTGTCGAGCCCTTAAGCTGGTGATATTAAAAGAGCTGATTGTGTTTATAAACAGTTTATAAGCACAGTTGAAATTAGCTAACCTCTGCTCTGCAGTGCATTAACTCGGATTCATGATGAGACTGGCAACATGAAAAGTAAAAAGTGCAATATGTTTTAAATTTTAGCCTTCTGTCTGCCTAATGAAATCACTCTGTGTGTGTGCGTGTGCGTGTGTCAGGATGGCTTCTCGAAATGGGAAAAAATATGTCACCCAGAAAAGTTCATCTTCCGAGGATGAGAATAACTACACAAAGATGGTCTCTGCGGGGCCGAGGCGGCAGGCCACAGTCAACGTCAGTTACAAGGAGGATGAGGAGTTGAAGACAGACTCTGACGATTTGGTGGAGGTTTTGGGTGAAGATGTCCCACAGCCTGAGGAAGACGAGTTTGAAACAATAGAGCGAGTGATGGACTGCAGGATAGGAAGAAAAAAAGGTAAGGAATGCAGACTAACAAATGTTTTTTTTTTTTTTTCAATAGACAGGATATGGTGAGGAGGTGAATGACTGTTGAAAGTGGTGAGATGCAGGGATAATGTGTAATTTTTCCTTTCTTAAATCAGCTATAGGGAGTTCAACCACTGTATATGCTATAGAGGCAGATGGAGACCCTAATGCCAACTTTGATCCCAGTAAAGAGGCTGGTGAGATCCAGTATTTTATAAAGTGGAAGAATTGGGCCCACATCCATAATACTTGGGAGACTGAGGAGGCGCTGAAGTTGCAGAATGTTAGAGGGATGAAGAAACTGGACAATTTCAAGAAGAAGGATCAAGAGAGAAAAAGATGGTGAGACACTTTTTAAATTGTCAGCACAAGTATGATAATCATATGTAAGACAGAAGCACCCTGCATTAACACACAGAAAAGCTCATCTTCAGAGGAGAGTAACTACACAAAGATGACATCTGTGGGGACATTTAGCTCTTTTTTCTTGTGCGTATTAGACTTTTTTTGCATTTATGCAAAACACTTTTTAAAAACAATAGCAACAATAATCAAACTGTTCTTGTCCAGTTGTTTTTAAAATGTTTTTGGCTGCAACAAATAATTCCCATTCCTTAAGAACCACCTTTTTTTTCCTTTTTTATTGGATGGATTGTTAACTTCTAATGTGATATATTGATCTATTTTTATATTGTTTAAAATAGAAAATTCATAAATAAATAAAAATTGTACAAGTTTGGTAAATTAAATGAGAATAGATCTGTCTTTGCAGATTTGTTTTCAGATATTGATTCACAGAGTCTTGGTCTGTTAAAAGGAGTTGTATTAAAAGCACCAGCAATGCAACAACTTTTTCAATGCTGTGGTACCGCTCCATTTCCCCCTTCTTATTCAATTAATATCATGGTAACCAAACTTTTTAGCTTGGGACCCTCACAATAACCATGGCTAAGACATGCAGTCCTCTACACTTCATTCAGCCTTTTCCTTTCCAGGAGTTTCCAAAGTGGCTCATCTTCCTCCAACTCTGTCCTCACTTAAACTACAGTATATACATGTCTTTTCTAATTGCATCCGTTTATCTCTGTTGAGAACCTCAACATCTTCAGCTCGGCCACTTCCAGTTCTGTCTCCTGTATTTTTATCAGTACCTCAGTCTTCAAATCATACAACAGAGTTGGTCTCACTGCTCCCTTGTAAACCTTTTATTTGAAATTTACTGCCACCCTTTGTCACAAATCACTCCCAAAACCTTTCTCCATCCAGTCCATCCTGCCTGGTCTCTCTTCACCTCTTTACCACAATCCCAGTTTTCCTGAACAAGTACTTGAGTTCTTGTGCTTTTATGGACTCTGCCTCCTAAAGCACACCTCACCCATGTCCCTCTGTTCTTATTCATGTCCTGTGCTAGCTTAGCTTAATTCTCTTCAACTTCACATTTCGTTACAACATCACACCTCCCCCTTCAGCACCCTCGTATTCTTTTTCTATTCACAAAAAGTTGTAGTGACGTGCGTGCCACCAAATGTAAGAAATCACTCGGTTATGAGGATTCAACTACACTCTTAGAACTTATAAGTTCAGAGGAAATTATTTACCGCGGGATCTTCTTATTTTCGGTAGATATTTCTTCCGTGCAAAAATGAATGGACAAAACACACAATAAGATAATTGTACTCAGTGACTTGTTTGTTGTAACAATAAATGCGATCATTTATTTAAAGAATCAAATAAGTCACTAATATACAACTTATTGTGAGATTGGTTGAGACCAAGGTCAAAGACAGGTGGAACTGTTTATTCCACTTCGAGGTGACCACTACACAGTGAAGTTCTTTCTGATCGTCTTTGTACTTCTCCTTCTCCAAGTCTAGCTTTGACAGCTGTCTCCCAGATCTTCATTGTGTGGTTCATCAACTTAATTCCTCTGTAGGTTGTTGCAACTCTGTACGTCACACTTGTTCTTAAAAACAGGCACCATCACACTCCCTTCCCTCCATTCCTTAAAATGCTCCCCTCAAAAATACGGTTAAATAAATGAATCAGAAACCTCACTGCCGTCTCTCCTAGATATTTCCATACCTCCACTGGTACGTCATCAGGTCCTTCCCCTCCTTCATCCTCTTCAAAGCTGAGACTGAGAATCTACACCAACGTTATTAATGAAAGAATATACCAAATACTCCATAATCTCCAACCCAGTTTTAGCTTTAACACAGGTTATTTTAATTTTTCAGGTTAAAGGCAGCTTCACCAGAAGATATAGAATATTTCAATTGTCAGGAAGAATTGATGGATGACCTGCACTCTCAGTATCAGCTTGTGGAGCGAATAATAGGTATTGTTTCTTTCGTACAAAGTGGCTTACTCTGAGTTTATTTGTATTTATTCTGCTTGGGTAACTAACTGGATGTTTGATTTCTTTGATTTCTTTTGAGCAGGACATTCAAATCAGAAGTCAGCCGCTGGTTATCCAGACTACCTTTGCAAGTGGCAGGGTTTACCATATTCAGAGTGTAGCTGGGAAGATGGTGCTTTGATTGCCAAGAAGTTCCAGAAATGCATTGATGACTACATGAGCAGAAATCAGTCTAAAACTATCCCATCTAGAGATTTCAAGGTAACTCGTTTCCCTTTACTCCCAGGCAGTGGCAGTAAGTTTGTGATTTCTAACTGCTATATTAGAAGTTTTAACAGGTTCACAAAACTCTAGTTTCTAAATTATTTTATGTTTAGAAATACTGACGTTATTTGCACGTTTCTGTATTGTTCTGAATTTTTAAGATTAAACCAATCTTGGTTTTTGAGACTAGATTGTATTATCACTTCCACTGAGCTGTTCTAAAATAAACTGAACTCTGAATTTAGTTTTTTACAACTGTGTCTGCTAGCTGATGAAACAGAGGCCGAGGTTTGTGCCTATGAAGAAGCAGCCAGCTTACATAGGAGGTGATGGACTGGAGCTCAGAGACTACCAGCTGCATGGTTTAAACTGGATGGCCCACTCCTGGAGCAAGTATGACTCAACTGCTTTTATTTAGTTTCTTTTTAAAAATCCATTAAGATTTTTATTGTTATTAGGTTTTTTAATAATAATAATACATCAAACTTATATAGCGCTTTTTAGGATATTCAAAGATGCTTTCCAAGAAAAAAAAACCTTATTAAGATGGGAAGGCCTGATTGAACAGGTGAGTTTTAAGTAGTGATCTGAAGAGAGGTAGAGAGTCAGAGTTCCATATTTTTGGGGATGGGGAGGTTGAGACTGTTCCCATTTTATTGGAGTTTCTGTGGTGCCCTCCAATATGCATCTGTTAATAATGATAAGCTCTAATATTCTGAAAAAATGTAAATTAACTTGTTTTTATTGCACCTAACATTGATCTAGATATTTTGGACTGCAAGCGATGCCTCAAATTAATTTCTTGAAATTAGAAAAAATCCAAACATAAATTATTGAATAGTCATTGACCACCAGGTTTTTTTTAAGCGTGTGTTGTAGGAAGGCCAGCTTGACTGATCCAGTGTAAAACCTGCAGTTTTTCTGATTAATCCATATTTATAATAGAAAAGTGTCAGACCACTGTTTGAATCACAGTTTATTGCATTTGAGGCTGCAAAGCTGTCTATGTATCAGGATGTTCATGCCGACTTGGATCAGAAATCAACTACAAACAAATGAAAAATGGTTGCTTCATCCTGGTTATTTGTATTTTCTTGTGAATGGTTTGGTCTAAAGATACAGCCTATCTGGGAAAAATTGTACTAATATATATTAATGGGAGAGGACAAGCTGGTCAGGGTTGTACAACTGGGAATGCTTTGTTGTTGCTGACCAATCACCTGCATTTTTAGAAATATTTCTTGCAGTGGTCTTTTCCAGCACCCTGCAAATATTGTGGAGAAAAAAGTTAAGCTTTTATTTTTGTCTTTATTTCACAGAGGGAACAGTTGTATTCTTGCTGATGAGATGGGCCTAGGGAAGACCATCCAGACCATCTCCTTCCTCAACTATCTGTTTCATGAGCACCAGCTGTATGGGCCATTCCTGCTGGTGGTGCCCCTCTCTACACTAACTTCCTGGCAGAGGGAAATCTTCCTCTGGGCTCCACTAAAGAATGTTGTCGTCTACCTGGGAGACATCAACAGCAGGAATATGGTATAAAATGTAGTTTTTGCGTAAAAAATGTTTCATTTTTATGTTAGTTTTTTTAATTTTTGTACTGAAAATGTGTGTTTTTTTATGTTTTTTATTTAATAGATCAGAACACATGAGTGGATGCATGTACACAGCAAGAGACTGAAATTTAACATCATTCTCACAACATATGAGATCCTTCTCAAAGACAAGGTCAGCAGGTTTTTCTGTTTGTCATCTGTCAACAGTTTTCCTCAAAATGTTTTAATAATAAAAATCTGTGATTTAGTCACTTGTAGATCTGGTAAATAATAATGAAAATTGTCTGCAGTCATTTTTGGGCAGTGTTAACTGGGCGTTCATTGGTGTGGATGAAGCTCACCGACTGAAAAATGACGACTCCCTCCTCTATAAGACGATGATCGACTTCAAGTCCAATCACAGACTCCTAATCACTGGAACACCACTACAGAACTCTCTAAAAGAGCTCTGGTCCCTGCTGCACTTCATCATGCCTGAAAAGTAGGTCATATCAACTTTAATAAAACTGCTCATTGCTTTGAGTGTACTTTGTGTGCGCTTCATGCCATCCTGATGCATCTCAGTAATCCAGGTAGAAAAATTAAAATGAAAAATAAATACACTGCAAAAAATGTCCATCTAACCAAGTTTTAAAATCTTATATCAGCCAAAAAGTCTCTTTGATCTTGTTTTGAGACTGATTTACTAAACAAGAACTGATTATGTAAGAATAATAATCTTGTTTTCAGAATGTGTCAGATTATTTGTCTTGTTAGTCTGAAAATTTGACTCAAATTATGTCAAACATTTCTGCCAATGGAGTAAGAAAATTTTACTTGGTAAGACTCTTAAAACAAGAAAAAATTGAGTCAAATCAAGTGCGGTATTTCAAGAATCTTACCAAGTAAAATATTCTTACTCCATTGTCAGAAAATTTTTGACTTAATTTGAGTCAAATTTTCAGACTAACAAGACAAATAATCTGACACAATCAGTTCTTGTTTAGTAAATCAGTCTCAAAACAAGATCAAATAGACTTTTTGGCTGATATAAGATTTTAAAACTTGGTAAGATGGAGAGTTTTTGCTGTGTAGGTCCTCTGGACGGGTTCTTCTTTAATGAAACGTTTCTCCTCCAAGAGACGTCTTCAGTTCCGTCCAGAGGACCTACTTATTATTTTTTGGCTCTTCATGCTTGTATCTTGCAACGTTGCAAAGACACATTTTAGATGGTGGCAGATTATAACATTATTTTGTGTTTACACTTGTCACTCATGGCTTTTATGAGAAATAAATGTTATTTGTTCAGACATTTTTGGCTGTAACATTAGACACATACACAAATCTCTTGAAAACCTGTTAAAATACAAAAAAGAAAAATATTAAAAAAAAGCTGTCACGCCCCTAAGTGTGTTTGAATGTGAATGCATGACTACACCCCCGTGCATGTTGTGTTGTTTTTTTCAGATTTCACTCTTGGGAGCTGTTCGAGGAGGAACACGGTAAAGGCAGGGACTCTGGTTACACCAGTCTTCACAAAGAGCTGGAACCGTTTCTGCTGCGCCGTGTCAAGAAGGATGTAGAGAAATCTCTTCCAGCTAAAGTGGAACAAATCCTCCGAGTCGAGATGAGTGCGATCCAGAAACAGTATTACAAGTAAGAGTCCCACTATACCTGTACATGTTGTATATACTCTCTTTATGTCTTGTTCTTGTTTGGATTGCCTTGTTAGACATACGTTGCTGTAAAGTAGATAGCCAAAATTTGTGGGGGCTACATTCTTGGAGCATCTGCAAATTGTATAAACCAGGGGTTCCTAACCCTTTTGACCTCGGGGTCCAATTTATTGAACATAAAGTGGCACGAGGCCCAGTCAGACATTACCAATGTATGGATCAAAATGATAATTATTCTAATCTAAATATTGATTTAATTTTTATTGTGTTTACATCATAACTAAACTATCATAACTAACATAACTAAATTAAAGACACTTACAGTTTAAAAGTAAAACTCCTGTCAAATAATCACAAGACATGATTTTAACATTTTTATATTGTAACCTGCCCATAACAATTATTTGAACAAATACATAGGTCAGTCAACAGACCACTCAGGCTTATCAACGCAAAATATATATTTTTTATATAAACAGTAACAAAAATAGACAATTCAAAAAAATAAAATTGTGTGCATAATATAAATGAATTTAAAATGTTTTTGTAAATGTTTCAAATAAAAAAACCTGTAAAAATAAATTTGATAAAGTACAAATGAAAATATAGCCTTTTTAAACTTTTGCAACCAGAAGCTGCTCTTCATATTAGTGACAAACATTAACAGTGACAACAGCTTTTTGACAAGTTTAAAATGTCTTTAAAACACATTCAAAATGTTTAAAAATAAATTACAAAAATTAATTTAAAGTGCAAATTAAAATATAGTTGTATCTACAACTTATTTGATAATGTTTTGAACTTTTAAAATATTGTATGGTAAAAACAGAAGCTGCACTTCATATTAGTGACAAACTTTGGTGTTTTTTGATGGGTTACATTCATTTTTGCTTCTACTTTTCATTTAAAATAGGTTTCCATTCTCGGCAGGTTTCTAAGTTTCTTCTTCTACATATTAAAAAGTTGTTAAACAGCTGAGTGGCGCACTACTGCTACTAGTGGTGAGAAAGTGTATTGCACCGTATTCAAAATCAATGCGGTCCCACGGCCCTCTCCGGACCAAAGTTAAAAACGTTTTTCTGTTGAGGCCCTCAAGGTGGCGCTATGGGTTAATAATCTCTGGTATAAACCTATACATTTTTGATGGGGTCAGAAAAAGATATCTGAATCATCTATTAGCAAGTTTATTTGTACACACAAAGGATTTGCATTGGGCTTTCACTGCTACACAGATTTTAAATTACACTTTCAATAAACCACAGAGGACAATAACTGAGGAGTTTGGATTTGTTTGCTCCACACACAGGATCTGTTTGTAGAGTGTGAGTTGTGCACTCTGCACGTTAGCACTTGGAGGAACGTACACACTGACCAAGATAAATGAAGAGAACTCATGGGGGGAGTAAAGGGGCCTTACAGGTTGAGAAAACAGTGTTGCAGGATCTTTGTCACATCGGCACACCAGACACCGCTGATGTAAAAACAGATGCCTCCACCTTTCCCTTTGCTGGACAGTTCTGTGATGCAGGCTGCTGTTGAAGCCTGATAGCTGCAGTTCCAGCTCACACAGCGTCTCCACCAAGTACAAAATACTTGAAGATGAAAACTCTGTTTTTCCCTACCAATAGATTAAGTGCATCCATTTGTTTATTCATGGTGTAAAGAAATATTCCAGTTAGCAGTGACCACTCCTGTGATAATGATAATGATGATGATGATGGTGATGGATTTACTGTAAAATCTGATGAAAGTACGTAACGAAGATAGTGAGTGTTCAGCAAAGCACAGGGTTTACGGCTCTTCGGGTGAAAAACTAAATGTTGCCTCAAAACATGGCATGAAAATAATGAGGATATTTACAGGTTTAAAAATATTGTGAGTTTCTGCCAACAATTATTAGACGGGTTCTGAGAAGAAATCCACAAATGGCTGAGTCTGTGAACTCTGAACTGCTTCTTGGTGTGGTTTAGCATTATAAAGTATTATTTTTTTCTTTTTATTAATTGTGTGTGAGTGGTAGCTGGGTAGGTCAAAGGCCAAAAGTATTTTTTATTGAAAGCTGTGTCACATGTAACAAAACAATACAAATTGACAAGAGAGAAAAAGCCAACTTCCAATCAACATTTTTCTATTTTAACCCAATCCCCATCTCCAAATTAGAGAACTCTCAGTAATTAACCAGTCAAAACAGATATTGTTTACCAATAAACCTGATAGATTATGCAATCACAAATTTAAAAACTAAATAAAAAGTAACAATAAATAAATGATTAAAAATATTTAAATAAATAAAAAAGAATAAAATAATAAAAAAAGTTAATGAATAAAAGGGAGGGGGAGACTCAGTCATCACAATTCGGCAGAGATGTCATAGATCTGATATAATTTAAAAGAGGACTCCAAGTATCTTCAAAGGAGTTTAAGGAACTTTTAAGGGAGAATCGAAGCTTTTCAAGTTTAATGGAAATAAGTATTTCTTTTACCCATCTATTATGAGAAGGAGGTTGAGGTTGTTTCCATTTAAGGAGTATGATCCGCCTGGCTAGCAAAGTGGCAAAGGCAAAAACTACCTGCATGTTTTTCAAGGTAAAGGGCTGTAGGGGGACACCGAACAAGGCCAAAAGGAGGTCAGGGGAGATAGTTATATTATATGCAATGCTAAGAGTTTTGAAAATTTCAGACCAAAACGTGATAAGTTTGGGACAAGAGCAAAATGTGTGGGAGTGGTCTGCTGGGGACAGTTTGCATCTATTACAAGAGTTAGTTACATTAGGGTAAATACGAGATAACTTCAGATTAGTATAGTGGATTTTATGTACAACTTTACATTGTAAGTATTTTTTTACATGTGATATTTAACACTACTAATCAGTGGGCTGTTGTGTTTATGATCAGATGGATTCTGACCAGGAACTATAAGGCTCTCAGTAAAGGCACCAAAGGCAGCACATCAGGATTCCTGAACATCATGATGGAGCTGAAGAAATGTTGTAATCACTGTTACCTCATCAAGCCTCCAGATGACGACGAGTCTCTTAACAAAGCTGAAGCTTTACAGGTCTCTGAATTTTTACCATCAAGAGAAAATAATATTGTTTTTTTTTCTAAATAGTCATATTAAACCAAACAAAGCAAAAAACAAATACTGTTGCTATGTGATATTTCCCTTCATATTTATCTGATTGATTCTGCTTTTGCCACATATGTCTACTCATGCCAACTTCTCTTACTTTTAATTTAAAGAATAGGACAATGTAGCTTGATTGTTTTTATACTTTAGTAATTCTCCTTCACTAGATAAGTCAAAATAAACAAAACATCTGATGATCTGTAGTTATAGGAGCTGTTATTACTTGATGTCTAAGGCATAGATAATTAACATTTATTTTTATGATAAAATTATATCTTTTTTCTTAAGTATTTTAGATTGTTAAACTCTGTTTTTTTCTTTGTAAAGCTATTTTTATATGTATTGTCAGTGGTTGGCTCTGTTTTAATTTAGTTTGTTACATTTGGATTAACGGCTGACAGAGATTATTTTCTTTTCCTCCTAAAGCAACTGATCCGCAGTAGTGGAAAGCTGGTTCTTTTGGACAAACTACTTGTGCGTTTGAAGGAGCGAGGTCACAGAGTCCTCATCTTCTCCCAGATGGTACGGATGCTTGACATTCTGGCTGAATACTTGAGGTGTCGGCAGTTCCTTTTCCAGGTGTGTAAGCACAGTTGCCACATGATCATCATATATATATATATATAAATAGTATATACACATATAATACCATATATCTTGTTTTTTATGTTCCTTAAACTTGAAATATTTGTTTGTGCAGCGATTAGATGGCTCCATTAAAGGGGAGATGCGGAAGCAGGCGTTGGATCATTTTAATGCTGAAGGTTCAGAGGTACGTTAAGTTTTATGTTATGAATACAGGTTGTGTAACAGCACACACAAATCAAAGTTTGGCGTGTGTCTTCATTTTGGAGTCATGGTTTGTTAAATCATTAGTACAACGGTAAATAAAAATTGTAGCTCTTACAAGCCAGGTGTCGAAGTAAAATCTTTATTATCTCTACAACTGAAAGTTATCTCTCTTTTGTTAAGAAAATTGTACAAAGCACTCAAATTAGGACCTTTTTGGATTACACCACTGGCTCTGCACTGATGCCACACAGCTGATTTAAAACAAACATGTCTTCAAGCTCCTGTATTCTGTCTGAACTCACCATTCTTACTTTGCTTTGATGTAGTTATTTAGATGATATCTTCTTTATTTCTGTCTTGATAATTAGCAAAAAGGAGAAAAAAACATGCTTCATGTTTTTGATGATGGTGGCGATCACCTGTGTTTATCTGATTAAATGCACCTGACCCTGATATCTTTATAATATTTGTAATAATTATATGTACCTTTACAGCTCTAAAGTGTCAGTAAATCTAATGCAACAACAAAACACAACCATGACTGTTGCATAAAGCGAGTTTACTCCTTTGTGTCTAGGACTTCTGCTTCTTGCTATCTACACGTGCGGGTGGCCTTGGTATCAATCTAGCATCAGCTGATACAGTGGTGATCTTTGACTCAGACTGGAACCCCCAAAATGATCTACAAGCCCAAGCCAGAGCCCACAGGATTGGACAGAAAAGACAGGTCAGCACAATTTGTTCTGAAGTTTCATTTGTTTTCACTTCTCACTTTGCAAATAGTTTTTTCCCCTACATATCCAAGCTGACAGAACAAAATTCACATCTCATGATGTGTCAAATTAACAATAACAAGGATACAGGGAGCATTTGTTCTTTCACAAAAAAGCACAGTGAAATCATGTGTTCATAAAGTATGCCTTAACATTTGTTTGTGGACTGGCAGGTGAATATTTATCGACTGGTGACGAAAAGTTCTGTAGAGGAGGACATCATTGAGAGAGCAAAAAAGAAAATGGTGCTGGACCACCTTGTGATTCAAAGAATGGATACCACAGGAAAAACTGTCCTGCATACTGGTGCTGCTCCCTCAAGGTAAACAGCACATGACCAAATGTTTTTTTAATGCTTGCCGCCCGCTTTAAATCTGATCAAAATTCAATTACATCAATCAAAACTTCACATCACTGTATTTAACTCCAGCGTGTTTTCCTTCATACAGTTCAGCACCATTCAGCAAGGAAGAGCTCTCTGCCATTTTGAAATTTGGTGCTGAAGAGCTTTTCAAAGAGCCAGAAGGTGAAGAGCAGGAGCCTCAGGTATGTTTTTATAAACTTAGATTTTTCGTACGCTGCAGCGCCATTTATTACAAGTACAAATTAAAAAGACAAATGAAGCAAAAGTGCATGCAATCAGTATGTCTTAGTTGTGTGTGACCACAATGCTCCAGTAGAAAAGGCTAGTTTAAATTTATGACCCTCTGATTTGTTCAGAATCAAAGCTGGTGAGTTTTATTTGGACTTGTAGTTAAAAACCGTTAGCTACTGCTGATTTCAAAGCTTTACTCTAAAAATATCGGGTCATTGAGAATTTTTGAGTTCAGTGATGTATTTTGGAGGGTGGAGGTCTATGGCGATTTATATATTCTTTTTTTCCTAACCCTAGTTTTCCATCAATCCTTGTTAAAAATACGACACTAATCAGATCAAAGGGAACAGTAGTAGCTACGTTTACATGGGCATAAGTAATCGGTTTAAATGGCCTTTGGAATAAAAATGCATCATGTAAACACCCCATTCGTATTACTCTGACCCGATTCAGCTCGATCTGAGTGAATTTGTAATGGGGATGAGAGAGATGGTTTATGCCGATTGATAATCCGAACAGCGTGCATGTAAACACTTAATCTGATCATCATATTCTGATTGTGGAAAACTGACCTGATTGCGCAACTCAGTCACTTTCATCCAGCGGATTCTGCTCTTTTGTGGAGGGAGGGACAGCAGCGCTGTAGTTTCCAGCAGACAGAACTTTTCCTCCCATTTCCTCATTCAATAAACAAGGAAGACACACAGCCTGCGCCGCTTCACCCAAAAAAATCTGCACATCACCTTTACTTTACAGAGGGTCTGCTCAATGATTAACATATTTTAGAATTTAGTCGGTGGAGACTTTATTTTAGGTCGACATATGTTGTGAATGCAGAACCTGAAGCATTGCTGGTGTGTTTTGTTTAGGAGTTTCTAATGGTCAGTTCTAGTCTGGAACCCTAGATATCAGTCACTTGGTTCTCTGTCAGGGATAGTGAGACAGTGTAGAGCAGTGCTTTTCAACCCACCAATGCCCCAAATTGTGAATTTTTTTATCTCTCAAATTAATTGAATAAAAAGATGTTACAGTTTGAATCTGAGAGTAAAATAGAATGTCACAGTGTCAACAAAAAAAAAACAAGTTTAACATTAAATTAAAACGAGCACCAGGTTCATAAATAGGTAACGCTTTTGTTTACTGTACCCTTATTACCATGTAATTACAAGGTAATTACAAGGTAATAAAAAAGTTAATTAAATATAATTACTACCTTATTACCATGTAATTATGTGGTAATTAGAGGACACTTTTACTATGTAATTAATTGTCTGCAGTAATGTAGCACTTATCTAGTACAATTCACTATGTAACACCTAAATAAGTAGTAGATAATTTGGACATTTTCAAAGTTATATTTTATTGCAATTAACCACTAACCCCAAATTTAGTTGCATTGTTTTGGTTATAAATATAGTGTTAAGTTACTATTGAATAGTAATTTGATTGTAGTTACCCAATAAAGGTAGTTTTACTAACAGTAGTTTTTTTTTTCTTTTGTACCCTAATTACCATGTAACTACATGGTAATAAGGTAGTAATAACTTTTTAAAAAAATTTTATTACCTTGTAATTACATGGTAATAAGTGAACCATAAAAGAAACCGTTACCCATAAATATTAGGATATGAACACAATTCTCATGTTTTTGACTGTAAACACACAGACACACAACAGAATTCATCCAAGTCTGCAATTAAAGCACATCTTTGTTTCATTTCAAATCCAGATAAATTGTGTTGATGCACTAAATTATTTTATGTAATAAAACAAAATGTTACATTTCGGTTACATCATGTAACCTAGTTTTGCTGAGTAACATAAATGAATTTAACTCTGGAAGTACGTCCAAGTACACTGTACTATATATAAATACAATTTAATTTGAATTCTTGTATGTCTGTAGGAAATGGACATTGATGAAATCCTTAAAAGAGCTGAAACCAGGGAGAATGACCCTGGACCTTCCACTGTAGGAGAAGAGCTGTTATCTCAGTTCAAGGTGAGAAAACGACAAATGAAATATCCTGAAAATGTCAGGCTGCTATTTAGCAACTGATTACTAATATGTGTTTGTTGGCCTAAATACAGGTCGCCAACTTCACCGTGATGGAAGATGAGGACATAGATATGGACTCTGAGAGAAGTCAAAGGAGCTGGGATGACATAATTCCCGAAGAGCAAAGGAGGAGGATGGAGGAAGAAGAGCGACAAAAGGAGCTGGAAGAAATCTACTTATTACCACGCATGAGGAATTGTGCCAAACAGGTACCTGTCAGAGGGAGTCATGCCAAAGGAAATAGTAAAAGACAAATCAATTAAAAGTGCTTTAAGTCTTTTGAAATGCTAACAGATTATTTTTTGCCTTGTGCATTGTAGGTTTTAACTGAACTGCCTGATGATTTTTCACTGTTTGTGCTAACAGATAAGCTTTAACTCTAATGTGGGTCGGCTGAGTAGAAACAGGAGATACTCAGGCTCTGATAGTGACTCTGCCTCAGACCGGAAAAGACCAAAAAAACGAGGACGACCTCGGACCATTCCACGGGAAAATATCAAGGGCTTTACTGATGCTGAGATCCGCAGGTGAATATATTTATTTTTACCGCCTGCATGTGTTTTACAGTTTATTTTTGTGCCCGCAAGAATTATCCCAAATAATTACACTGTGATGTTGACCAATCATCAGATCATGGTTCAGATAACAAACAGGTGTGTAAATTACAGGAAAACTCAGCCTAATATCCAGTGGAATATTAGAATGTTTTTTACAAATCAGGTTGATCTACAGCCAATACAAGTTTGACCCAAAGAGATACACAACATATTTATGTAATTATGTACATTTATAATCTTATGGTTTATTTCATCATCCAATATGTATTTTTTTTAATCAAAATTGCTCTTAAATGAAAAAATATTGCCAACCTGAAGTTTTTATATATTGTAGATAACAAGTGGGGGATTTAATTTCACCTCAAGGTCATGTGATCTACAAGGTCAATTTCAAGGTCATAAAACATTTAATAAACCCTAACAAGCTTATGGCTTAACAAATTCCCTTTCTGACACCAAGTTTGTGAAAATTTACCCAGTATTTCCTGAGATAATTGAGATTGAAAATAAGTGGATTTTTGCTGAAATTTGCAGAAAATCCTAATTTTTGGTGGGTCATATCTCTGGAACCACTGGTCCGATTGACCTAAATTTTTAAAATACTGATTTGAGATCACTGTTGACAAATGTGCCAATTTTCCTCAAATTCTCAAGTGGTCGGGTTAAAACCAAAGGGTAATTTGGCATGGAATGACCCAGCTCTGATCTGCTCCACTTGTCCCACAACTTCAAATTGTTACGCTGCAGACTCACAGATGCTCTGCAAGACAAAACATGAAAACATGTAGTTCATTACAGTGTGTGCTGGTCATTTTACTATCTACCACACTGTGCCTCTTCAAACTGTCTAATGGTTTTAGCTGCTGCACCTCACTGTTGCACTGGTGTTGTTAAACATTTGTTTAGGATCATTAGAGCTGATTTTGGACAGAACAAAAAAAAACATTATTTGTCTAGAGCAGGTTATTAACATGTTTTTGCTTTTTTGTTGTGTCCCTGCAGTATTAACAGTGATATTGATCTATTCTTCAAAATTCATTGAGTTTATAATTTTGGTTTTGTGATAACCATTTATGCAATCATTTTCTCATAGTTGAATTTACGTACCATGATCGTTTTTGTCAGGTTTGTCAAGAGTTACAAAAAGTTTGGAGGACCACTGGAGAGGTAAACAGTTTTTAGTGTTTTCTTTGTAAATAACACAATAACATGGCAGGTAGCATGCTGAACACATACTGTTTGGACACAGATTGGATGCCATTGCTCGTGATGCTGAACTCGTGGATAAGTCTGAACACGACCTGAAACGATTGGCAGAAACCGTCCACAATGGATGTGTGAGAACGCTGCGTGAAAACCCCTGTGGACCAGAGAAAACGTCAGGTAATAAAAACTGTTTACATCTAAAAAAAATGTTTTAGCTGTTTCTTATATTCCCCCCACCCCGAATAGAAGACAGTAATGTAAAACCTCTGTTATTTTCAAGCAGATGATTCAACTGCTGCCACAGATTTTATATACTGATGGAACTGATTTAACTATCAAAATTAGCAAGTTTCCTTACAAACTTGGGGGAAAATGGTGAATTGACTTTACCTCCTGCATGTCAGTGGCTACTCTGTGACAGAGGTCAACACAAAGCGTCTGTGGATCTACATCACTCAAGATCTCTCATTTCTCTACACTAAACACTCAGCCAAAGAATAAACTTTCTTACTTATTGAGAGCATAAAAAAGCTCCATCACATGTATGTGATAAGGAACATCCAGTCAGTATTTCTGAGAAAATCAATGGGGGTCTTACTTGTTCTCCTCTCTGTCAACGCTCTCTGGTTTCATTTAAAAGAGCAAATCGTCAGATATTGTCCAAGATTAACCTTCAGGGTGGATATAGCTCACTAGCAGCCTCACACCGAGGACCTATCCATGTCATTATTTACCCAGAATGCTTTGCGTGTAAATAAAATGGCCCAGTCCGTGTAAAATATTTTTAAACTTTTAGTTTAAAAGTTACAAAAAAATAAACATCCTACAGTATTTTTACAGTCTTTATTTTACGGTTAAAATATATGTTTATTAAGTAAAGTCTAATGTTACAACTAATCATGGATCCCTTTAAGCTTAATACCTTAATTACGTTATTCAAAAATTAAATAATTTGAAATAATACAAATTAAACTGCAAGTAGTCTTTTAAACAAACAACTAATGTATGTAGATGTCACGGGGGAGAAATCCTCATCATTTCTCCCTCCTGCTGAATGTCACACACGGGGTAGTCATTTTTTTTTACAAAAATTTTTATTTTGTTACCTGTGACGATGAAAAGAAGATGTGGATGTTCACTTTCTCACAAGTCCATCTTGATAATTAAACAATTCACTTCTGCTCAGATTATTACATAAAAATATGAACAATAGGTTGCCTTCAGGTCCAGACTGCCCCTGCAAAAGAAATCTGTGATCTCAGTGGGATTTGCCTGGTTAAATAACGGTGAAATAAAAAAAAAAATTTCAGCAGCATGTGGAAGCTCACATTAGTGGCAGGCCGTTATTACATTTCATCAATGTTTTAAATCATAAATAAATCAGTCATTGTGTATTTTTCTTATCCTATGATGTTTAGGAGGCCGAAGAGGGAAGGTGAAAGGTCCTACATTCAGAATTTCTGGAGTTCAGGTTAATGCCAAACTTGTCATTTCTCATGAAGAAGAGCTGTCTCCTCTGCACAAGGCGATTCCTGCTGATCCAGAGGAGAGGAAAAGGTAAGGTTGCTGAATTTCTGTTCGTGTGACTTACATCATGTTCCACTCCACTGTGAGGCTCCCTAAAACAAGTCTATTATCTTTTCCCTAGCTGCTCTGTTTGCCATGTCAGCGTACAGTTTTTAATGGCCCATGAGTAGGGCTGCCACAAACGATTATTTTTATAATCGATGAGTCATCGATTATTTTTTCGATTAATCGACTAATCGGATCATAGGTTAATTGAATATAGAACATACTGCTTATCGCACGAGAATGCACCTGCTAATATTGTATATAACCATCATGAGATTTCAGATATATACTAACTAAAAATAAAGACARTTAAGATCATWGTTCATTRAACCTTTAWTTAAATATGCWGTTTGTTGCAACAATTATTGAACTGTGTAGCATAGTGTAAACCACTGAGTAAAATAAATATAAGGCACTGGCTTWAACAACACAAAAATAAATACATTAATTTAAAAAAAAGTTTAGGTTTTTCTGGCCATCATTTGCCTCTGGCATCAAACATAACTGCATTTAAATCAAATGAGGTAGTTACTTAAAACTAAGGTATCACAAAAAGTAAAGTAAAAGTAAAGTTTTGGTCTCGTTGACTCAAATATAACAAAAGTGCAATTTGTGCTCAGTGCTCACAACTGTATTCAACTTACTACACTCTGACTATACAATCCCAAACTGCACAAGGCTCTTGTTCTTAGCCAGACTGTTATGTGTACTTAAAGTGTGTACTTATTGTTCTGTTCTGGGAACGCTCTTCAGAAGATTATAGGTACAGTTTGTCCAACATCTTATTACATTGTTTTGTTCTTCAGTGTCTTGTTAGGAAGAGTAGACTTGAACTTTAAAAGGATTTGTTCAACGTGGACAGTTACACAGGTTCAGTTGTAGCTTTTGTAAAAAGTTTGAATCTTGCAATTTTATCACATTACAACTATGTCCTAAACAAATATTTAATATTTCCCTGCATTTCCAGTCAGGTTAAATATGTTTATGTGTGTTTATGTAGGTATATGATTCCATGCCACTCGAAGGCAGCGCACTTTGACATTGAGTGGGGAAAGGAGGATGACTCCAGCCTTCTCATAGGAATATATGAGTATGGTTATGGCAGCTGGGAGATGATAAAGATGGACCCGGACCTAAATCTCACACACAAGGTGAGTTCAGGAGTGAATGAATACAATTTATGAATTGCAGCATTTTAATTTAGCACCAAAGGTGTATAAAAGCAAAAGATACATTAAGGAAATTAACATTTATTCTTTATTTATTGTATCCTTGACACTTTTACTGCCCAGAATAAATCATCAGTTGCCCAGAAACAGCATCAGGCTTTTTATAAGCGAATACTTAATGTGAACTTTTCTATTTCAAATGACTTGTGGTATACCATATTTATTCATGTATAATACAATCATAATTTTTTGAGATTAAAAAGCATAAAAAAATCTAATCATCAATAACCCATGTGTAATACTACCCCCTATTTTATGGATGATTTTTAGGGTTAAATTTCTAGTATTATACACAAATAAATAAAGTACCGTATTTATTCAAGTATAATACGTAAAATTTATTCCATAAATTCATCCATAAATTTGGGAGGTAGTACTATACTTGGATAAATATTTTTACTCATGTATTTTAACCGAAATATCGGCTTCATTCACAAAATGCCTGTGTCCGGAAATGAAACCGCGTCGTAAAAAGCAGCTGAAGCGAGCTTACCTGTGACATTTCGTCGTGATTCAGAGAGAGATAATAACAGATCCAGGCAGACGACACGATGTGGAAAAAGTGGGGAAAGTAGTCCTGCACCTTAGTAATGATAATGAACTAATGACATTAGCATGTGACCGAGCCGCTCCTCGAACAACAACAAGCACATGTTCGTCTGTAATGGCTGCCGTCTACCGGTGTTCTGAAAAAGTTTGTATCCCTGAAAAAAAGTTTCCCACCAGAGGGGGCGCTCGCGAGAAGAAAGTAATCTGCTTTTCCCCCACAAGATGGCCCAAATCTCATGTGAAGTCTCTGACTTTTGTGTTGGCGCCTCCTGGTGGACTGCGTGTAAAATGCCAGAATTCATATGATGCTGCTACAGCTGATATATATTTGTTGTCAAAATACCTTTTAGTACATATGTTGTTAAAATAAAATGAACAGTCCAATGATCATTTTACTGATATGTATAAAGACTGCAAAGGCTGAAAAATCTTGAAGTCTGTATTTAATTGGAGGTAGTTTGAGGATTAAATTTTTTATGCTTTTTAAGCTAAAAAAAGGGGGGGTCTATTATACACGAGATCGTATTATACACGAATAAAAACGGTAGTTCATTTGTGTTTTTCTTTCTCAAAAATGTAAATTCAGTTGTTTGAGTGAAATCAGTGATTCTTATTTATTCCAGTGATGACTTCTCCACAGAAAAATGATGTACTTTTTGTGAAAATCACACTATTTTTGTCAATTATTGATCAGCTACTTCCAGATGATCCTGACAAGAAGCCACAGGCCAAACAGCTACAGGCCAGAGCAGACTACCTCATCAAATTACTGAGCAAGGACTTGGCCAAAAAAGAAGCACAGAAACAAGCAGGAGGCGTGAGTCTCAGAGAAAATCTTTTTACTAACTCGTATCATTGCGTGACTTCAAGGAATCTTTGCTTTGGATCAGTTTTCTTTATGGTTCAGCTGTAGTTACAAGTTTATCAACTCTTTGTCTTGGTTTGTTTGTAGGCAAATTCACGAAAGAGGAAACCAAGAAGTAAAAAGAGCAAAGCTCTAAAGTCGACCAAGTCAGATGAAGTAACAAAGAGCCCATCTTCTGATCTCCAGTCAGACAAGAGATCAGATGATGAAGATGAAATCGACGAGGAGGAGGAGGACAAGGTAAGCTTTGGCCACAAACACGCCTGAACAGTTTTCAGTGTGACGACCGAGCTGACACGATTTGATCCCTTCAGGAGGTGAAGATGTCCAGCAGATGGGCCCGAGCAGACAAGATGGTGGTGAAGGAGGAGAAAGAGGAGGATCACGAAGAGGATGAGCAGGATGTTTTCTCATCAGGGGAGAGGGATGGCAAAGAAAAAGAACTAAAAAAAGATGTAAAGAAAGAAAAGGATGAAAGTTTTGACTTTAAAGACATAAAAGAGTCCAAAGAAAAAAAAGAAATCGTGGCTCTTCAAACAAAACACAGACAAGAGGAGGACGTAGAGAAGGTGAGAGAACTCTTTCAGAAGTATTGGTTCTTTATATAAATAAATAAGACACTTGAATTTCCTCAAACCTTTTATTTGTTTGTTTAATTAAAATCAGAATGAAGTAAAACCTGAGGTACAAGACCGGATAAAGAAAGCCTCAGACTTGTCTGTCCATAAAGCAGCAGGTGTAGAAAATATGCCAGTATCTGAGGAGTCTGAGGAGCTGGACCAGCGGACCTTCAGTGTGGTATGTTGGTTGATCAAATACAAAGTGTAGATAAAATACTAGTCAAACATCATCTCACTTTTCTTTGAGGTTAAAGATTCATTGTGAATAAGTTCATGTGAAACATTTGACCCTGTGGAGTCCAGGAGGAGGAAATGTTTCACAAGACAATCACTTAATAATGTTTGTCTTTTTTTCTAATTATCTCGTCATGAACTTTGTTCTTTACCCTGCTAAGGCCTGTAGAGTCTGAGATGGGGGTCATCTCACTGTATATCGCACAGTCTGACCTCGGAGTGAGTTTGGTGGGACAGCCACATTAGCAGCTGTCTTTAAAGCAGGGTTCCCACGGGTCCTTGAAATCCTTGAAAGCTTGTGAATTTGAAAATATGATTTCAAGGCCCTGGAAAGTTTGTGAAAACTGCCAGAAATTACACTTGTCCTTGAAAGTCCTTGAATTTTTGATGAGGATTGAAGTTCTCTATTCACACAACTGATTTTCATCATCTGTAAAAAAAAAAAATCATAATAAAATAAAACATTTGTTGCAGTAGGTAACTCAGGATTACTGTAAACTGATGTGGTTTTCAACAAATAACGTGAGCCTTAGTCATCATTTTATCCAATCAGAGCAGAGTAGGGTGGGTCATTCTTTCTGAGCCCAGGTGAAAGCACCACAGCTCCTCCTGTCCTCAAATTTCCACATCCCCTCCTCCCAAACAGCTGCTGAACCTAATTATATCTCCATGTATTGTAGATATGAATGCAGGGTAAACATTTAGTCCACTTTCTTTCATTGTTTCTGACTCAACAACTTCTATGTTGTTCAGTTTTTCATTGAATTTACATGATATTAAACCTGTTTATTAGTAACATTCTGCAGTAGGTAATTGCTGTCACACTTGGTTCTTGAATTTGATTAAATTGGTACTGGAAAGTCCTTGAAAGGTGCTTGAATTTGATGTTGACCAAGGTGTGAGAAACTTAAAAAGTTTCCCACTTATGAATAATACAGTGGTTTGCAAAAGTATTCATACCCCTTGAACTTTTCCATATTTTGTCACATTACAACCACAAACATAAATATATTTCACTGGAATTT